TAAAATATTACGTATTCCTATTATATTTCAAATTCATACATTATATATTTATTTTTTATATACAATAATACATTATTCCTAATATTGTAAACGTAATGTATTAATATATGAGATATTATATAAAATATGTAGCAAACATTCCCTCATATAAAAATATCCAAACATCGCTTTAAAATATTAAATATTAATCTATTAATTAACATAATAATATTAAAGGTGTATTTTTAAAAATTATATGAAAATTAAGTTTTTTAAGCAGTAAACAGGTAGAGAAGGAGGGAGGCAAAGCCCCTTTGTGCGTTGCTGAGGAATTCTTTGGGGGTTTGGAGGGGGTGTGATGCTTTTTGTGATGCTCGAAGCAGGTAAAGAAAGGGGACAAAGCCCCTTCGAGTGGTGACGAGGATTTCTTTTCTCTCTTCCTTTCTCTCGGGTGTGCTGCTGAACCAGGGCCAGGGCTCTGCAGAGCCCTGCAAGATGCTCCAGGGAAAACAGAACCCGCTGGAATCTCCTCTCTGGGCCACCTTCCCCTGGGCTCTGCAGCTCTCGGAGTGTTCCAGGGCTTCCCAAATCCCCCATCCCGGTCAGGGACAGTGCCGAGGGGCCAGAACCCCCCTGCAGTGCTCCCCGGGCTTTGAAATCCTCCCTTTCCCTGGAGGGAAACTGAGGCAGGGAAGTGTGGAAGTGCCCCGGGAGCCGCCAGGTTCGGGCTCTGCAGCCACCCAGATCCAATCCTGCTTCCCAAATCCACCCGTGCCCCGGGCGGGGGGGAGCCTCGTTGGCTCGAGAGGATCTTTATTTGTGAGCCTAATTGGTGGCTTTTCACATGCAAATTTACACCCCTGGGAGACAGGGAAAAGCTCCCCTGGAAAACCAGTCCGGTGGAGACTCCCCTCCCCTGGGGAAACACCTCCTGCTTCCCACCCCCACCGCGGGCCAAGGTTTCTGCTGGAAAAAAACCACCAGGTAAGCCACAGGAGGGGCCTGGAGAGCCCTAAAATGAGGGATTCGCCCTTCCTGGAGCTGTGGGATGCTGGGTGGGGCAGGGCTGGAAGGAGCAGGAGTGTCTGGGAGGACACATGGAAGCTGTTGGCAGACACAGGCAGGGCTGGGGGTCACAGTGTGTTTATTGGGGGGTGTTTTGGTGGGCACAGACACCTCGGGTACCCGCCTGGCAGCGGGGCCATGGGCACAAGGAGCTGCTGGATGTGCACGGAGGGGGATGGGAGGCAGCCCTGCTGCTGCCTTGGGGCATCCCATGGGCATCCATCTCAGAGCATCCTGCTGGCCTGGAGCATCCCATTGTCCTCCGGGCATCCCATTGTCCTCTGGGCATCCCATCTGCATCCAGCTTGGAGCATCCCATCATCCTTGGAGCATCTCAGTGGCTCAGAGCATCCCATTGTCCTCAGGGCATCCCATCCCATTGTCCTCAGGGCATCCCATCCCATTGTCCTCAGGGCATCCCATCCCCGTCCACCTCGGAGCATCCCCCTGGCCTCGGAGCACCCTGTCATCCTCAGCATCCCACCTTCACCCACCTCGGAGCATCCCGTTGTCCTCATGGCATCCCGATCCCACCCCACTCACCTCAGCCATCCCATCCACTCCGGAGCACCTCGCCAGCCTGGGAGCACCCCACGCTTCCTGTACAAATCCCCCCACTCTGTGCCCCCCTCAGCCCATCACCCGAGCGGGCAGAGACCCCTCAGCCCCCTCAGCCCCCCGGGGGTGCGAGGGCTGTCCCACCCACCCTCCTTCCCTGCATCCCACGGGGTGGCTGCACACAGAGAAACCGGGAGCACTGAGGGGAGGGGGAAACTGAGGCACTGTGGGTCTGGGGGCTGCCCTGGGGGTGGATGACACCGGGAGGGCCGGGATTGGGGCTGGGAGCGGGCTGTGACCGTGGGGTGGGGCACGGCGGGCACATGCATGTCCTCGAGCAGGACGTGGCATCCCTCTGGGGGG